CTCTCTCTCTCTCTCTCTCTCTCTCTCTCTCTCTCTCTCTCTCTCTCTCTCTCTCTCTAATAAATAAAAAAAAATTAAATTAATCAAAGTCAAAAATCTCCCAGGTATGGGGAACAGTGGAGCCCCAGAGTTGAACAGACTGAGGCACAGTGACAGTAGAGAGAAAACTTGGAAGAGAAAGGCAATAACATGGTGGTTCCAACCTGACCCTAAAAGACCTCTCTGGACCCAGGCATTCACCATCTTATAAATTCCTTCCTTGGCAAGATTCATAGTGCAAGAGCCCATTTGGTTCATTTTTTTTTTTCTTTTTCTGTATTTTAGGGAAGGGTTTAAAGGGTGTTGAGGGTCTCACTACTAGACTGGACTTGCGGTGATTCTCATGTTTACAACCTCCCAAGAACTGGTATTACAGGTGCCCACCACCATGCCCAGTCTCAATCGCCATCTCAGTGTGCCCCGGGGGTGGGGCTGGCACGGTGGGCCTGGTGATTGAACTCCCAGCCCCTGGGCCTGCTTGCAGGTACTTTAATCCGCTGAGCTATTTGGTCAGCCTCCCATTTGATTCAGCTTTTTTTTTTTAAATGTGTTTAGTACAGGGTCTCACTACACAGATCGGACTCATAGTGATCCTGTTTTCAGTCTCCCAAGCTCAAGGAAAAGAGCCCATTTCAGATGCTTAAAAAGCCTTCTGAAGATGATGCCAGCCAACTGCTGCATAACAAAGGTAGAGCTTATACAAGGGAAGAACCTACGTGTTCTCAAAACTGGGCTCAGTTGGACAGGTGCATGTGACTAGGTAGGCTTCTCAAATACACAAGCACAGGAGGAACTCCCTGGGAGTATTTGAAGGACAATAGTCTTAGTAAGCCCAGGCAGGGGAAGGATGTTCTCAGGGATGGTTTATTACCAAAGGATAAATGGTGTAGGGAAAGGAGCTGCTTGATGGTTTGGCCCAAGACCTGGGTTGGAACCCCAGCTCTAGGTTAAGCAGCCATGGGACCCCAGATGGAGCTAACACACTCGAAGTCTTAATTTCTTTATCTGTATGAACAAGGTGAACTCTAAACCTTTGCGCTTTACAAGGGTGTGGTCATGACCCCGTGGCTGTCCTACGCTCAAGCCACTTGTGTTCTCAGAGAACTGAGATGTGCAGCATGTAGAATTCTGAGCCTGCAGTCCAGTGACACAAATTTACTGTGTGCTTTCCATGGGAAGCCCATCTACTCTGCAGAAAACCAGAGCCAAATGCACTAGGAGGCATTTTAGAATGTCCAGAGTGTTACCATGTTTTTCTTCTAAAACTCTCACTGCTAGTTGGGCATGGTGGCACATGCCTGTATTCCCAGCACTCAGGAGACTGAGGCAGGAGAACTGCTTTGAGTTTGAGGCCTGCCTGGGCTACAAAGTGAGCTCAAGGCCAGCCTGGACTGCATAGTGAGACCCTGTGCCAAAGACAATACATAAATGAACAAATAAAACTCTCGCTGCTGCATTCAGCCTTGTCTATGGGATCAGCTTGCCTAGCAAAGCTTTTCAGGTTAACAAAGTTAAAAGGTGGTTTCCTCTACATCTCCAACTAAAGGTTTGTGAAGATTCACATGGTCACAGGCTGTTTTCTACACTCATCTATGAAGTTAAAGCACACTTTTTTATAGTCAAGTATTTCCCCACTAGTATAGTCCCTAGTAACCACTTAGAACTGACATTTTATTTCTTTTTATTATTTTCAAAAGTTTTTTTTATTTCAGGCGAGCTGTACTGGCCCCGCCCCAGGGGCATGCTGACACAGCAGTTGAGACTGGGCATAGTGGTGCACACCTGTAATCCCAGCACTTGGGAGGCTGTAAACAGGAGGATCACTATGAGTCCAATCTGTGTAGTGAGACCCTGTAGACCGTGCATTAAATACATTTAAAAAAATGTTTTTGTTTGTTTGATACAAGGTCTCGCTTGGACCCGTAGTGATCCTCTTGTCTCAGTTTCACCAGCTCCGAGATTATAGGGGTGTGTCACCACATCTGGTTGGGGCCTGCATGCGATACTGGGTCCTTGGTGCTTAGACCACTGAGCTATCTCCCCAGCCCTAGAACTGACATTTTAAAGAGTCCCTACACAGAGAAATGGCCTCATCTTTTGTAAGTTTGAGGGAAACTTTCAATCTTCTTTATTTATTTAGGCTGGAATCCCCCCCAAGGATTGGTACATTAATCCTGGACTACATTCCCAGCCCTTTGAATTGATTTTTAAGTGTATTTAGTACAGAGTGTCACTATGCAGCTGGACTCATACTGACCATCTTGCTTCAGCCTCCCCAGGACTGGGATTACAGGCATGCCCCATCACGCATGATCTCAGTGACCAGCTCAGAGCACCCCGGGGGCAGGGCTGGTGCGGCACATGGTGCCGGGGATTGAACCCCGGTCCCTGTGCTTGCCTAAGCAGGCGCTTAGTCCACTGCACTATTTCCCTGGCCCTGAAAAAAATTTTTAGATTAAATTAAAACTCTTTATATTGAGACAGGATCTCACAAATCATTGAGTTGCCCAGGCTGGGCTAGAATCTGTTATCTTGTGCTGCAGCCTCTCACAGTGCTGGGATTAGAGCCATGCACCACCCCGCCCTGCCCCAGCTTTTAAAAATTAAATTAAATTAAATGTCATTTTATTTTTAAAAATTTCAGTCAGCGTATCCTCCAGTTGCCCAGGCTGGTCTTCAATTTGCAATCCTCCTGCTTCAGCCTCCTGAGTAAAATTTTCAATCCTTCTTAAGCACCTAAAAACATTCTCCTTTGCAAGCTCTAGGCAAAACCATAAAATACTCTGGAAATGTACCGGCAATTTATTACGTACATATACAAAACCCAGCGACTTAATGACACTGCGTGTCAAAAAAATAAAATAAAATAAAATAAGGACAGGGCTGGGGATGTGGCTCAGTGCGAAGACCCTGGGTTCCTTCCCCGACACGGCCACACACAGAAACCCTATATGTACAGCGGACCCCAAGTTCCTGTCAGGCGAGGCACGCCAGGCCCGGGGTGTCCCCACACGTCCCCACACAAGGAGCCCCCCAAGAGTTGAACCCCTCTGTCCCCCAGTGACACACACCGAGGCGCACACACTGTGCACCCCACGTCTCCTCCCGCGGGACCCACCTGAGGCTGTGAAGCCCGGTCCTCTCACTGTCCCCTGCGCTGTCACCTCCTGCCTCGCGCTGCTGTCGAGTGTGAGACCCCTGCTGGCAGAGAACAGGCGACCTGGCGCCTTGGCACGCGGGGACCAATCGCAGCCCTGCCAGCGGCCGCAGCCAATGGGGGCGCACGCCGGCCGGCCAATGGGAGCGCGGGCAGCGCGAACATTGTAGCAAGTTGGCAGCCTGTCGCACTCAGGGAGGGGCCCGGGGGGGGGCGGGATGACCTTTTCACCCCGGCTCCTGGTCCTTCCACCCCAGCGAGGCCGCCACCTCGCGGGGGCAGGGGACGCCTTCAGTAGGCGCCAGGACACGAGGCTCCGGCCTCGAGGGGAAGGTCGACAACATGCAGATGGGCGGGAGACCAGGAGGAAGG